CCCAGATGTCTCCCTCTCGTGTCTATCGTGGCCTGCTGACGTGGGTACTGCCGTACACCGCAGTTACCCTTTTTCGCCAGCAGCCAGCGCTATGCCACTACACAGGTATCGATGTACAGAGGCGCCGTGGTGGCGAGATGTTAACTCCCTCGCCTGGTATGCAGGAGGTCGTGGGTTTGAGTCCGACACTGACGCCTGCTGTATATTTAGAGTTTGCGTCTCTCTCTCTCTCTCTCCCCGTAGTTGCCTGGTTCTTCTGGTTTTTCCCTTCACATTCAGAAACATGCATTTAGAGTATTTGGCTGCTATACATGTCCACATGATGAGCCACGTCGTTGAGCTATGATTTGTGGCCAGGTCGCTTTTGAAAAGGAGAAATATAAATATATAGCTCAGTGGGCCTTACATGGTAAAATAAAAAATAGTTTAGACTAGAGGCCTAACTTCTTAAGGGTGACACACAGTCCTGAATGTCAAATCATCATAAATGATTAATCCACTGCTGGATGAAGGCCCTCTCTAGGCTGCCATTACCTCCCACGACCCTGCCATGTAACAATCCACGGAGCACCTGCACGTGAACTGATTTCAACACTCCATCTCCTTGGTTCACGTGCTCTTGAAAGTGTTCCATCTCCTGCTCACACTGCCGCTTCGTGTCACAGTCCTTCACAGTTCCAATTCGTTTCACAGTCCCTCACAGTCCCGTCTAATAGCCTCGAGGTGAAGGGCGGGCAGCCCACCGCAACGCACTTAATGCAGCAAGAGTGAGCGAAGAACTAAGCTGCCTCTATCTGATACCTCATCTGATCCTCGCTTTGGTTGAAAGGGTTAATTGCCATGTCTATTCCCCTCTGAGGTGCCAAGAGCCATCCTGCCCCTCCCCCCTCCCTGAATAACAAACTCCCCGCGGTGACCTTCCATCGCCTCTCCTGGAATAAGGCACTTCATCAAAGGCAGAGCTGGGCGAGATTCCATTTGTTTGCTGGCATTCGCTTTGCCGTCCAGAGATTATTTAAATTGGAGGGACACACTTGGGAGTACAGCTACAATTCTTGTGGGACAAAGGCAAACTGGAGTGGGGGGGGGGGTCACGATGGGGGGGGGGGGGTCTGTGGGGGATGGAGGAGAGGGGAGAAACGTGCCATCAATTGTGGTGGTGGCCCTGGTGCCAGCTCGTATTGGCCGACGCAGCGGGCTTAGATTGCATCTGAGATGCCCGCCACTCTGCACCACGCTTTGGAACTCCAACATGGAACCACTCCATGTTAGCCACTGGCGGTAGTGGTGGGGCGGGGGGGTAATCGTTGGGGGACACTGCATTGCTGCTGCTCCCACAGAGCAGGGGATGTCTTGGTAAGGTCACACCTGACACCTCACCTGTGCTCATCATCAGCAGTAGCAGCCATGGTCAATCCACTTCTGGATGAAGGCCTCCCCAAATCTGCCGCCACCTCTCACAATCCTGAGGCGCAGAATTCGTCCAAGCATACGCGCACACGAGCTCATTTGTTATTCTGGTGTTAAAGTTCAGTGCCTTACTGACATTTCGTCGAACATTTGTACTTGCGTATAAAATTAAATTAAATTAATCACGACGTTTCGGGCGCAACACAAGCGTCCATCATCAGGTGGGAAAGCATGGTCTGCTGCTGAGACAGAAACGTCGTGATTTATTCATTTGATTTTATACCTACGTGACTTTACCGAAAAACCAAAGAATATGGATTCCTGCAGTCACGAAAGCTTCAAATCAAGATTTGTACTTGCTTTAGATATTTCTGTTGATTCGTATATCATCGTCGTCAGCAGAAGCAGCAGCAGTCATGGTCAATCCACTGCTGGATGCAGGCATCTGCAAGCTGCTGTAAAATCCCACCATCTTGCTATAATTCACCCAGAACCTGGACACCAACTGATTTCAACGCTCCATCTCCTTTGCGAACGTTCCGTCTTGCACCGTTCCATTTCCTGGTTTTCACCCCTTGACGTTTATTTACCATTTGCCCACTGTCCGTTGTGGTGAAGTGTCCCGCTCATATACATTGTACATTTTTTTTGAATGATGCCATTTACCGAGGTACGTGCTTTTAATCCCGCATCGACGAGCGTGGTGGAGTATGGTCAAATAACCTCCACAGCAAAGGGGGAGTCACTCACTCAGAAGTGCATTGGCAAAAGCGTTTGCGCACACACATATATACGTGGCATTGTTTGAAATAGTCTTAATTGGGAAAGGGCTGGGTGACTGATGCAATTAGTGACAGACGTAATGCACTACAACGTGGATTGCATGTGCATTTCACTCCCTGTGATCTTAAATCTCAGGGCCTAATTGCCCGTGACAAATGTAGACACAAACAGATCCCCCCCCCCCTCCCTCAAATATTTATATACTTCAATCGATGGTTTAAAGATGTTTGCATTGCGATGCTTGCACTTCTTAAAATGTCAAGTAAATTTGTTTAACACGGACTTCAATGTGCGGCAACACGCCACGCATTTCAAGCAGCACGCTTACCAATTCATTTATTTACTGGCACCGTTTTCAATAGATTTGCATAAAGCGCATGCAACACAGTCTTAACAGCCCTAATTTAATGCCATTGGAAACACCTCGCTGTTAGTTCACTTGTGAAAAGGTAAAGGTGCAGCCCTGAAACTGCTTGCTCATGCCACTGCTGTTGGAAGGGCCTCCAAGAGGCAACGCTCTTAAATTATTCGTAGGTTTTTTTCGGTAAAGTCACGTAGGTAAAACATTAAAATTAATAAAAATAAAATAAAATAACTACACTTAGTTGGCCAATCTTATTTGACAGACTATTACAGGTTTACCATGTTTAATGGTTGTCTCCTTGTCACAGGTTGAGTCACAAACCGTACCTCTTCATAACAAAGGCTCACCCTCTTAAGCCTCACCTTACCATATGAATAAAAAGTGTGCTTTACTTGGCCCTTTCCCCCCCCTCTCCAACCATTATATAAACGGAGTGGTAGCTCCTGCAATCTCTCATGTACTTGATACAGCTGTCGTGGCTGTGACGGTTCCTCCTGAAGACGGAAGCTTGTGTTGCCTCCGAAACGTCGTGATTTTGTATTTTATTTTATTTGTATTAATTATAATGTTTTACCTACGTTACTTTACCGAAAAAACCTAAGAATATGAATCCTTGCAGTCACGAAAGCTTCAAATCTAGAATTAACGCTCTTAAAATCACCACCCCCTCCTCTAGATGATGTTTGGGCCGTAACTCTTCAATGCTGCTCCGCGTGAGTTGCAAGAGGTGGTTGTACCCACATTCTCGACCCCACCGTTCGCGACCTGCAGATCGACTGCGGCGAACACACCGACACTGCTGGGAGGGCAAAGGCGGTGGAGCCGTCGCGTCACGAGGTCACTGGCATGGGGGGCAGGCAGTGGGGGGTGCCTTGCCCCCCCCCCCCCCCCCCGCTGGTGGCCAAAGCTGCGAGTTGGGGCCCCCTTGCAAACCACAATGAGATATATTTTCAACAACAGCGTAAAAAGAACAAAGCACGTATTTAAAACGCGGTTTCAATTTATTGTTAAATATGAAAATGCTTAATGACGTGATTAGGCAAGGAGAGCTGCCAGATATAAAGGGTGCTTCAAAAAAATGTGAACACTTCGGAGAATTTGCAACAATACCACAAGAAATGTGCCTCCTGGCTCTGGAGACCACTTGAACAAGATTCCATAAAAGTTTTGACAATTATGACGAACAAGTGAGAGACTCCATGACTTGTTGAAGCTATTAAGATGCATTTGTTATCATGTTACAGTGTATTATCCGTCCATTTTTAACATAAAAAATGATAGTCCTATATAAGTTTAACACCCACCCAACTGACAATGACGTAGCTACTACGCCACTGGCGATTGAGATTACACACAGACACACACAAAAACTGACCCAGTTGTTTCAACTGCTGCTAGATAGAATCGAACCCGTCGACCTCTGGATTGCAAGTCCAGTGTGTGAAACCATTCCACAACAACAGCAGCAGCAGCATCTCTCCTTTACTCATTATTCCTTTTCAACAAACAATCAAACAGAATGCATTATGAGGGTAAACTTTCTCCCGATGCAATTTGCTCTTGCTGGTGTCAGCAGTGTCAAAAGTGATTCTACGGAGCGGTGAGCCACTCACTTCGTAATGCTTCACCTTAATAGGCATGTCAGCGATTGCTATTCTATCACTCAAAGCAGCGCTCGCTCTTAATATTATGTAGAACGCACACTGTGTGATCCAAGCCTGGTATTGCTCATAATATGCTGACAAAATAAAGCACAGAACTGAGAACAATTATATTTAATTGCACCTCGATATTCCCATGTTTTTCTTCAACGATGGATGTGCTGGAAAAATGTTAATTCAGGCCTCGATACGAAATCTTGGATGATTTGTAAAAAAAAAATTAAAATCCATGTTTCGGATTGTTTCCTAGAAGGGAAGTTACGTCACAAAATACTACTTCCACTTCTTCTGTTTTCACACCAAAAATTGTGCCACGTGGCATTGAGTGACATCACTTTTGTGAGGCCAAAGACAAACAAATATATAACACAATGAAATCGATCAGAAATACAAGTAATAAAATGTGTAAAAAATCTCCTTAAAAACCTGAAAATCCGATATGCTTTCACCCTAAACTCATCTCTAACCTATGCAAATTCATGCATTCGTATAATAATACTGTGCAACAAAACATGTTTTGTTCTGGGTAGTAAGTGTTATTTCCTAATTGCTTATGCCTCCAAAGTACAGATAATGGCTATTATTCCCCACAAACGTTGCTTTTGTGACCAAGACAATGACATTTTTTTAATTTACCTGTTTTCCAGAACATTCCAGATAGATTCAGTGCTGAGTAAGCTTGGAGTAACTTCTAAAACATTCTAGAACTTTTCAGTAATATGAATAGTAGTATAAATACTCAGTTTAGTTCCAGCTGCCTAAGTGGATACACATCTGCATTTTTCCGAGATGGCATCAAGAGGCTGTAAGAATCCGGCAGACGCATTTTGCTATGTCTGTGGCGAATGTATCAAGACAAGAGCGAAAAAGTACTCTGTAGAAGCATCTGCTAAGATGTGTGAGGCCTACAAGGCATATTTGGGCATGCCTATCGGGGATCAAGACAAACCCTGGGCACTTCATTTCACCTGCGAGCAAACCCTGGAAGGTAAGATGGATAATTGTTGCTTGGAATTTTACTTGATGAAATTTGTTAAGATTTTTTTAATTGTAAAAGTTTTTAATTTTAAAATGTTTTACAATTTTCACTGTTATTGAAAAAATATACCACGTATGAAAAATGTTGTGAGAATCTATACTCTTTGGTTCTTTCGGTAAAGTCACGTAGGTATAAAATAAAATCAGGTGGGACAACCACAGCAAGAAACAATTGCTGGAGTGATGACAGACGCTTGTGTTGCGCCCGAAACGTCGTGATTTAATTTATTTTATTTTATACCTACGTGACTTTACCGAAAGAACAAAAGAGTATGGTTCCCTGCAGTCACGAAAACTTCAAATCTAGATTGTGAGAATCTCTTACACATTAGTCATGCGTGAAATAAATGTATTTCTGTAGGATGGTACAAAGGGAAAAAAAGAGTCATGAAGTTAACTATCCCAATAATTTGGCGGGAACCCACTGACCACTAAAGCAACTGCTACTTCTGCATGGTGGACCCTTCCAAACATCGGACTGGCAAGAATGAACCTGTTATCACCTTCCTTCATCCATCGCCCCGTTGCCACATTGCCATGAGCTCCCCGTATCCACTTCTCCAGAGAGAGAGAGAGAGCAGCGTCTTTAGAAGAGAGCAGCAAGTCAGAGAGCGAGGAAGACGTTGTAGATCCAGATGACAATTTCAGAGGTGGAACTGAGGAAAGAAACCCATACTACCCCAACCAAAAAGACCTCAACGACTTGATCCGAGATCTTGGTCTCACCAAGTCCAATGCCGAGCTTTTGACGTCTAGGCTCAAGCAGTGGAACTTGTTGGATGAAAGTGTGCAAGTCGCAGATCAGACGAAGCGTCACCAACCTTTTTGCAGCTTCTTCACCCTGTCAAGATGGGCTATGCGTCTGCCACAATGTGACCAGTCTGTTGGAGGCAATCGGAATCGCCTATAACCAGAATGAGTGGCGCCTCTTCATTGACAACTCATCCAGGAGCCTCAAAGCCGTGCTGCTCCATAATGGTAACAAGTACCCATCTCTTCCCCTGGCTCACTCGGTGCACCTCAAAGAGGATTACAGCAGCATCAAGACCTTGCTGGATGCTTTGAAGTATGATGAGAACAGCTGGGAGGTCATCGGAGACTTCAAAATGGTGGCATTCCTGATGGGTCTCCAAGGCGGTTTTACTAAGTTTCTCTGCTTTCTTTGTCTTTGGGACAGCAGGGACACCAAGGCGCACTACCACAGGCGGGACTGGCCACAGTGGACCGAGTTCTCTATGGGGAGGAACAACGTCAAGTGGGAGCCACTGGTGGACCCCCGGACGGTGCTGATGCCACCACTGTGCATAAAATTGGGTCTCATGAAACAATTTGTCAGAGCTGTACATAAGGAGTCGGCAGCCTGCAAGTACATTCAAGACTTCTGCCCTAAGCTGTCTGAGGCAAAGGTCAAAGCCGGTGTCTTCATCGGGCCACAGATAAAGAAGATCCTGGAGTGCAATGAATTCCCCAAGAAGCTCACTCGTAAGGAGAAAGCGGCTTGAAACAGCGTTGTTGCAGTGGTTCGTGGCTTCCTGGGCAATCACAAGGTTCGAAAACTATGTGGAGCTGGTTGAGACTCTGGTGAAGAACAACGTCACAATGGGCTGTATCGATGTCCCTCAAAGTCCATATCCTTGATGCTCATCTTGACTAATTGAAGGAGAACATGGGAGCCTACTCGGAGGAGCAAGGTGAGCGCTTCCACCAGGATATACTGGACTTTGAACGCCGCTAACAAGGACAGCATAACGAGAACGTGATGGAAGGCTACATTTGGGGGCTAATTCGTGAAAGTGATTTACAGTTTAATCGCAAATCTCGAAAAACTACTCACTTCTAAATCTGTTGTCGTCATTTGTGTATTACTTTAGGAAAATACATGTTAATTTTGATTCATACGTTTTTTTTCTTCTTACTTTATGTGAACGAAAATACACAAATTCGCCAGTTTTCTCATTGAAAATAGGTACATTTCAAAATATCACTGTCCTGGTCACAAAAGCTAAGTTTGTGGAAAATAATATCCATTATCTATACTTTTTAGGCATAAGCAATTATAAATAAAACGTACTACCCAGGAACAAAATTGTGTTACATAGTGTAATTACTGCCGTAGCAGCATTACTAATTCTTCTGCGTGAAAAATGAGCAGAGGGTGTGAAGATAAGGCCCATCTGGAGCAATATTGAATATTGATTGCAGCACTTAAATTTGTCATGTACAAAAATGAAGTAATTCCTAACTGCTCCCCCCCACCCACCCTCCTCATGGTAATACGCTGTGAAAACATTCTCAATGAGCTTGTTTTCCTTTGAAGGGGATGTTTGATCTGCTAATTCACGGCTACAAAAGCTCTTATAACGATATTCGCAAGATGATTAAGTCGTCATGAAAAAAATTTCTCACGAAAAAATATCCACGACAATAGAATTTACTCAAGAACCAAGGTGAATGTATAAAGGTTGTCTCAAATGTTAACCGCTCATTTCTTAATTGAGAAACCCCGTTAGTAAGTAATACAAAGGAAGGACATGTAATTTATGTATAGATTGACTTGCAAAAATCTTGCAAATTGGTGGAGCGGTTTGATTTATGAGGGCTGTGCATGTGATAACGCAACTGAAAGGCGTAAATTTTTATGAACATGAGAATTGGACTCACTTAAGAAAAGTTATGCAATGCGGTTGACATTCGGTGGCTTCGGGATATAGGGTGCTCAGGCAACCTCAGAATTATTGTGTTTAAGCTTCAGGGTTACAAACAAATGTTATTGCACCATAACTTTGCCTTGCAAAATCACATACAAGTAGAACTTAAGCTATATACTATTTTTAAAAAAACTATAAACCATTTTTATTTTACCAGGTAAGGCCCACTCAGCGATATATTTATTTTTCAGAAGCGACCCGGCCACAATAATAGCTCAACGAAGTGGATAATCACGTGGAAATTTGAAGCACCCAAACACTCTGAACGCGTGTTGATTCTAAATGTGGAAGGAAACCCCGGAGGAAAATGCACACTACCACGGGGAGAACATGCAAACTCTGAATATACGAGTGTCAGGGTCGGGATGGAATCCGCAACCTCCTGCATACCAGGCGAGTAAAATGACATTGCGAAACCCTGGCGTGATGTTAATTTGGCTCTCCGCATTTGATAAAAAAACATGCTTTAATCCAGCAGCTTATTGGCTTCCCAGACGAAGATTATCTCGTCGCATTTGTTGAAGCAAGCAACCCTGAACCGGCTTTTGACCTTCTGGGTTTCATCAGCAGAGGCAGGCTTGTTAAACGAAAGCTGCTGGATTTACCAGATGTCATTGGCAAGAGCACTCCATTTAAACTATGGAAGCCCATATTTGCATAACAGTAGTTGCCTGCATGTGTGAGATGCACAGAGGCTTTGACGGTCTCACTCCAGTCGCCAACAAATGCACGATAAAATGTTGGTGTTAAGCATTCGTAATCGGCCAGGGTCTGCACACCGAGTGTCCAACGGCAACAGATGGATGGGAAATTGCTTGCGAGTACAGCAATCAAGGGCACGCTCTCGAGAGCCTGATCTTGTTTAAGCAAGGAGTTAATTTATGTAGATGTTACATTGTGGGCCTGGGCCAGTGGTTAAGCAGGGCTTTTCGCCAGCTTGACGGCCTAAACCCCTCTGCATCGACCTGCCACCCGACCCCTCTGCGCTGTAAATACAGCACTCACTCGAGTCGAGTCAGAGTGATTTTCTGATCAAATGAGCGCTGAGTTGGTGATCACCCCCCAGTTTACAGCGCTGAGCCGGTGACGGAAATACTGTATTTCTTACGGCGGGGGCAAGTCTCTTCATTTGACAACCACTCTTAACTTCCCAACAACGTGGTACTAATTTATCGACCTGGAAAGGCTGATGGGTTGAGTCAACCCCCCACCCTCCAATCCTCGAAACCGGGATTTGAGCTCGCAACATTCCGACCGCGAGCCGCTCGCTCATCCGTTAGGTTGCGAATAAAATTCAGGCGTGGCGTGCGTGTGAGCTTATCTTCAAGCGGATGCGTGTGCACGCATTATCCTCCATCTCGGGGCAGAAATTGGTGCTGTAGATTGAAAAAAAAAACTGGTTTCACCTATGTGGGTGTTCATAGAGTTTTGGATTGTGTAAGAAATGTATCTGCTAAGCCAGGAGAGGTGGTACAGCAGTGTGCTTTGTTTTTTGCAATGCCGTGCCACCAGTGCCAGATTATCGTCGAAGCACAAGTAGCATCTGTAGCTACTACATATGCTACTTGTGTAGTAGCTACATGTGTAGTAGCTACATGTGTAGTAGCTACATGTGTAGTAGTTACATTGTAGTAGCTACATGTGTAGTAGCTACATGTGTAGTAGCTACATGTGTAGTTACGGGCCCCGCACTTTCATGGGCCCCGCGCGAAATGCTTTCAAGCTATAAATTCCGGTTCAGTGATTCTGCACTTGCTCTATTACTATAGTACTATACCGCATTCAACTATTATGAACGACTGGGTGTTTAAGGTTAGCGATGTGTCGTATTATTTAGCTGTGTCGCAAATGAAAAAAGTGTGTTTAAATATTTGTGTTTTTGTTTTTATTATTTAAGGCCCCTTGATAACATATGCTACAGGCCCTCGCACTAGCTTCATCCGGCACTGCCACAAGGTCGCTATGCATACATTTCAACACGTACATTGCACGTAAATTCAAGGTCATCGCATCAGCTGCTTCGAACGGACTCCAGCATGAATACGTAGGCTGTTCCACCACCCAACATTCCTCTAATTACCCAATATTCTATTTGCATGTGCCCTAAAGTCAGAAATAGACACACACAGATTTTTTATAAAATTGCATTTAAGATTTAATAACGGGGCTTGCGGTACCATTTCAAAACGTTGCGGTGCTTGCATATTTAATCGGCGCACAAAATATACATATTTAAAATATCACGTTGACAGAAGGGTAATTTAGATGCGGCTCTGTGTGATGTCCGTGCTAAACACGGGCCAGTTGTTACGAGGCAGAATGATCAAACGAAGTGCGTTAAGTGACTCGGTGATGATTGTAAATCTTGCGAGGTCCGGTGTATGCCACGAGCAGTGTGTTGCTAAAAATGCGCCATCGTTTTCGTAGGTTTTTTTTAAAAGGCAGATGATGAAAACTATGCATTATTGAAACTAAATTATCTAGACTATATTAAGTACCCCTTATGTAACGAGAAGATGAAATGCAGACCCTGAATGAGACACGTTAAAAAATTAACCCGTAAAAACAAAGTTTTTCACTATAAATCCTTTATATGCGTGGCATCGGTTTTATTCTATTATTCATTTCTGTTTTTCTTGAGTAAGAGTTTTATTTTTATCACATTGGTATTTTAAATTAAATATGAAAAAAAATTCCTAAAAAGTGGAACATTTTGGAAAAAATGTTTCACGAAAATAAATTGTCACGCACAACGAGTCTGTGTGCAAAATGTCAGCTCGATTGGATCACGGGAAGTGGGTTAAAAAACGACCGAAAGATTTGCACGGTCGTAAGCGCGCAAGCAAGCAATCAAGTGAACTTAATATAAAAGATTTAAAAATAGCCTCTTTCGCAAGCACGACCTGTGTTGGAAGGGCCATCAGGGATACCAAAAATGTTTCATTGGTACATTTGATAAGTTATATAAAACACCGAAAAATATTTGATCCATAAAAAAAGAATCTTAACCCTTAGCTCCAGATAAATATTAGATACTCTGAAAAGGAAGATGAACTCCAAAAATTGTTTTACTTTTCAGTTCGTTTTGTGTTCACCAGGTGAGACCAGGATAAGTCTCATTTGCAACAGTGACATGGATCACCAAAAATAACAAACGCCAAATAGATAAAGCGTAACAAGGAAGCAAGCAGAGATCCGTACAAAAAAAAAACAACCGCATCCCGCGAACATCGAAAATAGCGCACAGACATGAATCACCATCAGATCAAAGTTAAATATTGAATTTCACAGTGAAAGTCAGCTCGATATCAATAAATGTATACAGATCTATATACCTTGAATGCTCTTCCTTGCAATATTAGCAAGCCACTGGAGTGTTGCACTTTTGAATCTAAATCAAAAAATAATTTCTTTAAAACTACTTTTTTGTGTTTCGTGTTGTTGTCCTTCCCCCGCACCTCCGATTATCACGGTTGGCCACGTACGATGCAAAATAAGTTCCACTTTCATACATGCACTACAACTTTTACTTTCAAATACGTCCCGGTGGGGGGGGAGGAGTGCATTTTTTTCCTAATCAACAGAATACTGTGCACGCACGCACGCAGACATGATTTGGCAACCAGTCTGGCTGACATAAATATGGTTTATGGTTCACTATGAAGAGCCTCCTACACGGTATTGATTCCCCTGCCTTGCTCGTAATTTGATAGTCAATTCCTATGGAATTGTTCAGCATGATAAGATATTAAACATTTTGCCTTCCGCAATAAGCAGGGGAATCAGCCCTTAATCCCAAGTTCACACCGGGCCACATTTGCCTAAGCGGCAACGGTTGTGG